GTTCCATAGTTTGCTGTGGTTCGTCTGGGACGTGTACGTTCACCCTGCTTTTCCTCGTTCATGTTTTGTTGTTGTTTGTATTATTTGTTTGTAGTGTTTTTTATATTTTTCTCTTCCTTGAAAATTCTGGTAAAATGATCGTCGGAAAGAGTTTTTTATTAGTTTTATTAATTTATATCATCTTCATCTATTGGGATGGTTGCTGCTGAAAGTGAACTATTATTTATCCTATTATATGTATTCCAGATATTTAAATTATATATTTTTTTTATTTATATATTAATTTGTTTATTTCTTTTTGCTTCATCTTATTTATTTAATTTATAAATATTATTATATTATAAAAATCTTATTACAAAATAATAGTTCATTCACCTATCGAAGTTCATAATACACCAATCATAGTTTGACAAGAGAAATTCCCTCTGGGTGTCGTTGTTAGAAGTTTAAAGATACCTTTACCTCATCTAAACAAGATATGGCTGTTAAAGTAACAAGGACATTACAAGAATTTGGATTAGGAACGTTTAATGTGATAGTGGTACTATTGTTATTTATTATTATATATTATTAATATTTATTATTACTATTGTCATTATTATTTTTATTATTATTATTATTATTAAGCATAGGAAGTTTTTTAGTCGTAATATTGTGTAATTTTACACCATTTACAAAAACCCCATTTTAACTTCGCTCGCGATTTACGTAATAGGGAGCGATTTCCTACTAAAGTATTTCTAAGATGGACCAAATCCCTAGTTCCTGACTACATGTCGAAGTATGTTCCATTCCTGTAGCTTGATATTTATCGAGATATTCACATTTAAAATTGGACATCCGTGAAAATTTTCTAAAATTATCTTAAAATTTTTGTCAAAATATTTTGATCAATATCAATTCTAAAGAAATGAAACACATGTTAATATGTAGGACTTTTGAACCATCTTAGAATCTCCTTAATATTTATGCAATGTTTCAAAAATTTACGCCGAAAAAATTTACTGATTATCTTATTATAGGTTCACATCCAACGATTCCAACGGAAATAGTTTGTGCTTGTTGAACAGAATTACAATAGGCCATACAAACATTATTAGAAATAAAGAAAGAAGTTGATAAAGTGAATATGAATTAAAAATTAAATTAAAAAGATAAGCTCGGATATTTAATTAAATGAATCATCTAAATTAATTATTGGTGAAAGTGAAAAAAATGGAAATGGTGAAAGTGTTAGAAATGGAGAGTGGAACAAGTACTCCAAGAAAATTTAATAGTGATACAACAAATAATGGTAGTGAAACCAATAGTCTGATAAGTTTTTTATTATTATTATCAAATCAATGAAATATTGTAATTCTTGTTGGATGATGAATTAAATTAATATATATCATAGTCACAGTAATGTCGCAATAATTACAATATTGTACCTATAATAATATGGTCATCGTAATATTGTCTAAATTTCACAAAACACTACATCAATAACAGCGTTCACAACAAATCACAGTAATCACAATATGTTGTGAGTCATGACAATATTGTGATTAAAGCTCTTAAAGGTTTGAAACTAAAACTGAGCACTCAAACTAGTTAAATATGATCACCATCGGTGAGCTTCCTTAAATAATTACCAACCAATAAAAACAAAATACATGATTAAATATCAGACACATGATGTCCAGGTAGGTTTCTACAAAGTTGGATTGGATCAGATTTTTACCAATATTTGAATCTATCCAATATTCATTCTCCTCCAATCTGATCCAAATTCATCATATACAGATCCAACTTTTTAAAATCTGAATTCAATTTTTAGTGTATTCAGATCAATCTGAATTCAATCATCCAAATAAAAAAAATTTAAATATTTTTTTGTAGATTCAAATATTTTTGTGGATTCAAATATTTTTTTTTAAATTTGAATATTTTTTGTGGATTCAAATATTTTTTTTTAGATTTGATAGTAGTGGAATCTGTGAATAAATTTACTGTCAAGGATGCAGATGCAAATCAATAAATTGTGCAAATCAATGCACAACAAATGAAATATAATTGTAACAAGTTAGTGAATAACTTTTAAAGAATATAATCACATGTATAAATTTCTACTTTGTAATATATATTATATAATACACACTATGTGTTAACCTTCATGAATATCCATTTAGATCTGCTTTATCCATTAAAACATATAGTAATTTTATCCATGAATTGTACCACTAAGATTTGAATATTTTGTGAATTCAAATATTTCTCATGGATTCAAATACTTTTGTGGATTTGAATATTTTTATATATTATATAAGGACATTTATAAATCACACCAGTGGTGTTCAACACCAGTTGTTTTTTAACCAATAAAAATAAAGCACATGATTTAGTCATCTATATTATTTAAGTCTGAGTTTGGATATTTTTAATGTTTTTAATTGGTCATATTTGTTTCTTATACGTTTTAATGTTTCTGATACATTTTAAGGTTTCTGATTAGTTGTTTATCAATATTTTTAAATGGTACAGGTTTGTGAGTTTTTAAAGTTTTGAGCTTGGTTTCGTGTGATTTGACATTTTGAATTAGATGTATTTGATAATCTGTAGATTTAATTATGTGGGAAGAAAATTTTAAGTGATCGGTGTTACTATGATGTGTCTGCAATGAAATCTACAATAAATTGTAACCAAAATGTCGTAACTGGAAAACAAGTTAATTGTGTAAATATATTATATAGATATGGTATAGAATAATTATGTAATAAGTTTTTTAAGAGTCTAGAGAGACTGTTTATTTATATGGAAAAGTTTTTTAAGGAATCAGCATAACAATGACATTTTAGTAGTGATAATTGTGATCGAAATATTGTAATTGGAAAATATGTTTATTGCATAAATAAATGATAAAAAAAAATGATATATGTTAATTATATAATCTTTTTAAGTTTTTGTCATTTGTTTTTGAAATTCCAAAAGGGTGGACTATTTAAGTTTGTTTTAAAAATCTGGGAGGTGGTCTTATTATGTGAGATATAAATTTTAAAAGATCTGCATAACCATACATAATCAAAAGTTACAAAATTTACATTATATCGTGTTGAAATATTGTAATCTGAAAATAGGCTCATTGAAGATGATTTAATTATGTGGAAAAATTTTTTAAGAAATCAGCATAACAATACATGGCTAAAATTTATATTGTATCATGAACGAAAATATCGTAACCAGAAAGTAATGAAAATAGTAAATAAATATAGATAAATATAAATAAAAGTAAATAATTACCATTCGAATTTTTATCAAGTCTACTTATTTCATATGAATGCTACCTCTTCGTGTCCTCTATTTGTGAAATGCTAAAAAATAAAATAATCTGAATAATTCTCAGATCTGAAAATTTCAGAAATTATATTTTCTGATAAGAAATAAATTTCAAAATTACAATATTAACTATTATTTCTGTGAAGCAACTACTTCCATTTGCCATCTCTATGATACTGTACACATATGTTCTTATTGTCATGCCAAACTCTTTTCTACTGAAACACAAGGAATGTATTATCGATCAGAAAAAATCAGGTAGATATTTAAATCAAAATGTGAACTAAACTTATTGATCATGATATTAACTAACTTTAAATTTATTTGTAATAGATTAGCTTTAGCAGATGATACTATAATTTTAAAAAACCTATTTACAAGACATGATAGCATAGGAAAAGATTTTTGAAATAATATCAGGGCTTATAATTGTGGTTTTGCTTTCACTTCTATTGGTATTAAGTTAGATAAGGACCTTGCAAATGGTAAAAGATTCAATTAACAGAATATACGTTTAAATATGTTCATATTAATACTAACCATTAAAACAGGCAGGGATGGTGTCTATATATTTCAAATACAGAGTGGAATTTATCTTTCCATAAGATCACTCACACCAACTGATAGAATATCAAAGTTTCTTCAATTATATATATATGATATGGAATTTGCACAATTAACAGACTTGTAATTATGCTTCAGCTTTATCAAGATACTTTAGAATTTATTAAGACGTTATTAGACCAATTGAATCCTTTTGTAATTAGTTTTTGTTCTATTTCATTTAGCAATAATATAGCAGATCTTTATCTTCATATCAAAGCTGATCATAGTTTGGATCAATGTATGTACAATATGCCAACATCTTCGCAAGTTGCTACTGTATGTAGGTGGAAAGTCATGATCCTATAGATTATACTGAACATGTATAATTGTAAATTCTTGATCACAAGGTTTACAGAGAGTATCTGAGCTAAGCGGCACATATGATCCAATGCTGTGATAATGGCTTTTTCTTTTCTTTTATGTCTGAGTTTGTGAAATATAACAGGTTTTTGCTCTAAGTTTTTTGACAAGAAGTATTAAGTCATGTGCAGTGATGCTAGGAGATAAGCCGATTAATTTTGCTATATATTGATCACATGTCATCAAATTATTGATGTTACAATCAGTTGGAATAATGCACATTAAATCAAGGTTAATAAGGACATTCCATTCTGATAAAATTTTTTTAGCTGACTTATTATCTTTAAAATAGACAATTGTAGATTGCCACATACCATTAGCTTTTAAGGTTAAACATTCTACCTCACCAAATAAGGTTTCTAGATCCTCTCTAAGCTCATTGTATTTGGGCCAATGGAAATATCTCAAAATATAATGCCATTCTGCATGGAATTGTTGAAATTTCTATTGTAGATTTGTGCTTTATGCAAGTAAGTAGGCTTTTCTGCATTTTTGCTTACATTTATTGTTTGAGCTAGATACATTTGTTCTTTGTCATTGAAATATGCAGAAATCATTTTGTCTTCACCATTGAATTCGGTATTAACTAAAATTGTATATGTTTTTAGTCTATGAGTTTTTTTATATAACCAATTTACTCCTTCAAATTTTTTCCAGGTATTTTAATGATGTACATCCAGGTTTTATATTTTTTTGCACCTAATTCTCCATGCCACAAAGGTAGATTGCTGTTTATCGAGTTAAAGGAAGCAATAGATTCTCTATCTTTTTTCAAGTTTGTTATTTCAGGAAGAGTTGTACTTTTTTTTGGTTTCATCTTTCTCTTGGTTATAATGTTTCAACTAGAGATTTCTTGGGAGTCTTCTAAATGGTTTGTAAAAGGGTCAAGTCTAGAGGTAGAGTCTTCTTGGACATTAGTTGTATTTTTTTGTTACTTTTATCCTTGAAGTTATTTGATTCAACAATAACTATGGATTGGTCAACTATTCCAGAAGTATCATCATATTATTATTTTCTATGGTGTTGGTGTCTTTAAGATATTGTTTCTTAAAATTTCTAGAAATAATTTTAATAGGGTCCACACATTGGTTCTTGATAATTATAAGTAGAATTTTTGAAGAATAGTTAATCTCTACTCTCTATGGTCTAGAATTTGAGCTTTCATTTATCATGTTTAAAATTTAAAAAACAAATAAAAACTATTTTCAAATATTTTACTATGTATTCTTAACAATAAATTTAATAAACGGAAAGAGTTTTTTTTTTGAGTTTTATGGCATTCAACCTTGTTAAAACCAACATACTTAAATAAGTTTTTAAAAATTTCCAGAAATTTTTGTCCTAAAATTTTATGAATAAAAATTTTTAAAAGAGTTTGAAACAAGATTATTTAGTATAATTATTTAGTAGTAAATAAATGAAATCATTTTGAAATTTGCACAAGTTTTTTAAAATTTTTGAAGTAAAAATTTCTGCAAATTTTATACAGAAATCTTCTGGAAATTTTCACTTCGAAGTAAAAACTTTCCAGAAATTTTTGCCTCTTAAAATTTCCTGATAAATATTTCAATTCCAAATGGTTTACGAAAAAGAGTTCATGAATTGTATAGAGAATTTTCGCAAATTTAAGAAAGGTATAAATCATTTTAGACAGTACTGATGCATACTTGATAACAGAAAATGGCATAATGGAAATTGATCAACTTACTAACAATGAAATTATCACACAATATAATGATATATTAATGACTTATTTGATAGATATTTTTATAGTTCTAGAAAAATCAGACCAAGCTACCAATCATGACTTAAATGGTTACTTGTGAAAGTAACAGATATTTACAGTACAAATGGTCAAAAATGAATGTATATCAGAAGCTCAGTAATTATCTACAAGATGCTCTATTAAGAAATATCACAACAATATTAAAAAGTGAATTACAGGAATGATCTCATCAAAATGGAGCACAAATTTATCAAATAGCAACACAAGTACAAACATTATTTCAGGAAATAGGAATGCCATATGCCAGAAGTTTTCAAAATGTTATGCCAGATTGGATTTATAAGCTATCTAAATCAGAGTTCAAAAGGTTTCTACAGCTATGTAAAACAATAAGTATACAACTAATAGAAAATCTTTTAGAAATGGATATAGAGTCACAGGAGCTTGACTTTGAAGGAGGAAATGTTTCTGGCAATACAAATTGGTAATCAGGTAAAATGTCACAGGGGATGATAATTTGTAGCACTAGATGAACATTCAAGTAATTGTTATCCCAGGTGAGATACCATACAAGGATAAAAGATGATGAAGAATGACGCACAAAGGATAAAAGAGAAAATACAATGATAAAGGATGAAATGTAAACAAAAGAAAAAATATAAATACAACTATTGTTGGGTGTAAGTTTCAGAAGTAAGTTAGTCAGTATTTTTATTAGTTAGTTAATTAATTAATACTTAATATTATGGAATAATTTGAAATATCTTAATTATTATTAAATAGAAAAGTAAATTTACTACAGGGATGATAAAATAGACATCTTAACACATGATAATATTTCTGTTACTGAATTATACTTTACTTTTAAAAACTTTATATTTTATATTTTAATAAACTTATATCTTGTATTGTAATATTGTGAAATATTATTAAATATTGTTTGATACTGTGTTAATTGCTTTTACTTCACCTTACTCACTGTGCCTTCATGATTAATTGATTATTATTTGATTATTATTATTATTTATTATATATTTATTATCTGTTTCAAGATAAGACAGTTAAATCATTGTATTAGCTGTGATCTACTGGCAGATAGAGCATATTATTGTGTTTGTGTAATGCAAACTTTGAGACTGATTTGAAAAATTATTTGAAATACTCTGCACAAGTGTGGCAACACTATCAATTACACTAAAGATCTATTGTCATAATACATAATAGTTACATTAATTTCTAACTGATTTACATTAATAATCATGCTAATATATAAAATAATATATGTAATACAGATAATAAAATATATAATAATAAATCTAATCAAAATAAAAATAAAAGAATAGAACTAACACTGAATAATATATAAAATCATCGATCATTGACATATATCAAATTTTTTATTTTATAAGTACATATTAAAAATAGTATTAAGTAACTGTAAATATAAGAATAAGTTATATATAATATAAAAAGAATAGACTTATATCATCAAGATTGTGTGAATAATTGACATTAAAAAATTTTCTTCATTAAATTTAACTGTTCAGAATTCTCACATATTTTATAAAAAAGAACAGACCTATATAATTAAAATTGAAACTTCTTCTTGTCTTTATAGATACTTAGTACTATTTTTAACACTTACATATTAAAATAAAAAGTTTTATATGTAGTAACTATTGATATTTATTTTAATTGCAAGTATTTTCTAAAGTTATACTTAAATGTGAAATGAAAAAGTATTTATTGTATCACAGAATTCATTCTTTTTTTGAATTCAGATCTTTCAGATTAATAGATCAATCCAAATCCTTTTTTGATCAATCCAAATCCATATTGGATTTCATTTTTTTGGATTCAATCCAGATTCTGTCTGATCCGGATTCAATCAATTCAAAAAAATCCTGGACACAATATGAAGAATAAGAAAATAATTTAAATTTACTAATTAATTAATTGCTAAGATTTATTCAATCAAGGTATCATAATGTTAATAAACATATGTTAGTATAATATTTAATTTCTTGATTATGTGATATCAAAATGCCAAATTATTTAAAGACTCTATTATAAAATAGATTTCATTATCATTGCTGAATTGTTAGTGCATATTTCATTGTACATTTGGAATTTGAAATTTAACATTTTTACATATTTGGTATTATTTAATTTATTATTTTTTAGCAATCTTTTATACTTCATAATCTGCAATAAAAAATTTTTCATCAGTTGTTCTAATTGATTTTCTATAACATTTATGTGTAAAATCATTACACCTGATTCTAATGAAAATTCAGCATTACCAATACATGAACCAAAATTCTTTTGATCAGCAGAACTATAATAATATAGAGAAAAGCACACTTTTATTTTCGATTCTGCTGAGAATTGAATTTTGAATATTTCCATTTTTCAATGAAAATATAAAGCCATCATTTGTTCTCATAAATTTCTTATTATTCCAAGATAATGGATTTAAACCTCCAAGAATTTAATCGGTTCCCAAAACTTTAACAATCACTCTGTACCAGCATGTAAATTATACATATTCCAAAATGTTTTTGGTTTGAAAATCATCTTTACGTCCTTGAAGAATCAATTGAAGTTTATATAGTGCATTTCTTAAAGAATAAATAGTTGATTTGTGATCAATCCAGGATGAAATTTCTACTATAAGTTCTTTGTTGATTATGGTTGATTCATTTACTCTTTGAAATAATTCGGGATTCAAAATAACTCTTGCCGACAAAACGAGGGATTTAACTGGTTGATTTGGAAATATGAGTTATTGATGTAAATTATCCCAAAGCTGAATACCAAGAATATTTTTATAAGGCTTTAATTTCTCCCAAATATCTTTCATATCTTTCTAAAATAAAAATTAATGCCAATTCTTGGAATGAAGTGAATCTTCAGATTCAAAAATTAAATTGGATGTTTGGTAATATCATTATAAAATTGTTTCAAAGATTGAATGATAAATACGAGAGAAATGAGTTCTTAACCAAGAAGCTTTAGAGTTAACTTTCCAATTTTTCTGATTGTTCTTGGAATTCCAATTCATTAGCAACAGTCATTAATTTAAAATTATCGATTTATCGAAATACTACTACAATAAAGTAATGAATAATTTTCTTTTACTTTCTTAAGAATAATTTCGAATATTTGAATGGAAATATTTAGTTTAATAATAATTTCGACATGATTTTCATTCGCAGCAAATGTTTTCTAACTCTTTGGTGATGGGTTGAATGATAAACCTAAGACTTTCGAATTAAACGATTTCTTGTTTTCTTCTTTATCATTTCAATGACAACATTACATTTTTTTTGTTGTTAGAGATAATTTGTCAAAAATTTAAAGGACATTTTTATTATTATTATTAAGTTAATTATTAAGTTAGATATTTAAAAATTTTGTACAAATTATTGATTTTTCAAATGTATACGTACAGTATGAATGATCTAGATAAAAAGGACAATTGAATCTTTTTTTAGAAAAAAAAAAAAATCAAAATTGTTACATTGTAAAATAAAATAAAATCATTAATTTTGAATCATCTTGTATCGAAACACTTTAAAGTAATAAATAAGATTATTTAACTTACTTAAGAATAATCATGATTATTTGGCAGAAGTGTTTAATTTAATAATAGTTTTGACATGATTTTTGTAACTCTTTAGGAGTAGGCGTGCGAAGTAAATGATCTCTTGTTTTCTCCTTTATCAACTGTGGCAGTATTTTCTAACTCTATAGTGAAGTAGGTTTAACGATAACGTAAGACAACCGAGTGCAAAGTAATTGATTTCTTGTTTTCTTATTTATCAACTTTAATAACAACATTGTATTCTTTCTTGTCATTACAAAGTTCTGAAAAATCTTGAGATAATTTGTCAAAAATTTAAAGGACATTATTTTATTATTATTAAGTTGAATATTTAAGATTTGAAACTTCAAAATCGGTATTTTTTACAAACGATCCATTATCTAATGGTAACGGAGATATTATAAAATATACATTTTTAAAAATTGTCGGTCTTGGAAATTTATTGTTAGCACAAACATATGCAAATTGGAGGTAACACTAGAAAAAAAATTAAGTAATTCCAAATGTTTGTTACACAATAAATTCGCGTATTTCACGCGTTTATGTTTATCAAAATCTTTATTGATATTGATCAACTTGTTTAAGTAAACAATAATTTAATTATAAATAGGGTCCATATCCCCAATTGTTGAAAATTTTTTCTTAAAAATATCCATACTTTCATCACTTCCTTTTCTTAAAAAAAAATTATTCAAGATGGTTATGCTCTTCGAAATTTTAAAAGCTCCATTTATTGTGCTCATAAAAATGTTGCTTTTGTTCATTCAAAGAACTTATGTTTACACCAAAAACTTGTTTAGCTGCTTCTTTCCCTTTAACTTCTCTACCTTGCAAATTTCTGAAATCGAGTTAGAAAAAAACGTCCATCGAGCAGCTCAAGTTATTTTGGAAAATCGTGTATTCGAACTTCAACAAGAAAACCAAAAAAAACAGGCCGAACAGGCTATTTTGGAAAACCGCATCCATGAACTTCAACAAGAAAATCAAAAGAAGCAGGATGAACAGGTTATTTTGGAAAATCGCGTCCACGAATTTCAACAAGAAAACGAAAAACTAATTTACGAAAAGGCAGAACTTGAATTAGAAAATGCTATGTTGATAGCAGCCCAAAAGGCACTTGAAAATAAAATTGCCACCGATGCTGATGCCAATCTAAAGCGCACGGTCGCAAAAATGATTGAAGAAATTAAAGAAAACTGCACAGAAGCTCTCGGTCGGTCTCAAACAATCACAAAAATTATAAAACAAAAACAAACGGTCGCGGTCAGAAAAAGTATTTATAAACTAAAAATGATGGGTTAGATCGAGACTACTTTTATTCTTAGAAATGATTATATTTTACTTCTATTAAATAATAATATAGGGAAATTATTTTATACATTAATTTTTTTTTTTGGTTTTCCGGGGGTTATTGGGGCACATGGCTTTAAGGCCACCCCCGGATATTTTTCCTTTTTGATTTTTCGGTTTTTTTATGGTTTTTTTTTTTTTTGATTTTTTGTTAGTCCGGGGGTTATTGGGGCACATGGCTTTAGGGCCACCCCCGGATCCTCTTATTTTTTATTTTATTTCTTTTTTTTTTTTTTGGTTTTTTGGTTTTTTGGTTATTTGATTTCTTTTTTGATTATTTTGTTTTCTCTTTTGGTTTTTTGTTAATCCGGGGTTATTGGGGCACATGGCTTTAAGGCCACCCCCGGATATTTTTATATTATGTTTAATTTCATTTTTTTTTTAGTTTTATGGTTTATATTTTAGTTTTTTTTTTTGGTTTATATTTTAATTTCCTTTTTTTTTAGTTTTTGCGATCCGGGGGTTATTGGGGAACATGGCTTTAAGGCCACCCCCGGATACTTTATACATTGGCTCCTAGAAAGAAATATATAATAAATTTAAGAGATTATGCATACTTGATAATGACATTAAATATTTTAATAGAAATCTTAAGTTAGGCATCGATTACTTTAATATGGTTATTATTGAGAGTTTCGTTGAATTATTTAAAATAATGAATTCTGGGATTGTAAAATATAAGAATCAACTTTAAAATTTGATTATTAGATGCTTTGCAATTTCAATTGTAGCATTACAATCAGTAGAGTCTTCAAGAAGTTGAGTCGTAATTTTGATGCTATTAAAGTGGATTACGAGAAAATTATTTAGATGAGTAAATAATTAGTAATAATTTATAATTATAATAATAAATTTTAAGATTATTAAACCTTTCGTTAATAATATAAGAAGCGATGAATTGCGATTAAATCATTAGACAAAAGTTCTTCTGATGAAGCTAATTTCAAATCAGAGTATAATATGAAATACTTGGCAGGTAATAATAATAATAATAATAAAATAATAATAGAGAGAAAGATTTTAAAATTAATTTCATTTTTAAAATACTTTACTTAGATAAAGATTGGACTAGAGAAGAAACGGATTATCATTTTGGTTTATGTATAAATATTATTTTCAAGATTTATGGTTATTCAGTATCATTATGAGTATCCAAATAAGGAACGAACAATGAAATTGAGTATTAAATTAAAATTAAAAATTAAATGAAAAAATTAGATTACGTTGTTATTACTTAAAACATAAATCAATTATATTTTATTATTAGGATTTGAAAGACCGGTTTGTAAAAAGATTTTACCAATGGTTCCCGGTACATCTGACAAAGGAACCCTTATTGCATTGATAAATGTAAATTACATCTTTCATTTCAATAATTTCGCTATTTTTTTTTTTATTCGATTTTTCATTAATTTTTCAACTAAATGAATATAGCTAAAGAAGAAAGAGTAAAGAAACATTATACAGTCGATCGTCCGAACAAATACAGGAAATCAGTAGGCGTAATATTACGTAATATTACACCATAGCAAAATTCCGTTTTTGACTTTGAGTGCGATTTACGTAATTGGGTGCGATTTTCTACTAAAATATTTCTAAGATCGATCAAAAGCCCTTATTCCTGGCTACATGTTAATATATTTTTCGTTCCTGTAGCTTCGATATTCATTGAGATATTCACGTTTAATGTCGGACGTCTGTGAAAAATTTCGCAAATAATTTTTACGTAATATTTCGTGATAGTACGGAGATTTTCGAAAATTTCCGTAAAATTTTAGTTGAAAATTTTCACGAACGTCCAAATCTAAACGTGAATATTTCTATGAATATCGATGTTATAAAAATAATGCACAAATAAACATGTAGCCAGGAACATGGGCGTCGATTCATCTTAGAAACATCTTAGTAAGAAATCGCTCCCTGTCACATAAATCACTAGCGAATTCAAAAACGGATTTTTTTAAGCGTAAAATTCTGAAATGTTTACGTAATATTTCGAAAATTTACGCCTAAAAAAATTTATTGATGTATTAGTAAATCAAAAATGGCAGATGTGGTTTATTAATTTCGGAAAATATCTTTATCAATTTTTTTCTTCGAAATGAAAGTTCATAATTTTATTAATTTTTTGTCGAAAGAAATATGTTTCTTTTGATGAAATTTCTTAGACTAAATTAAAAAGGTTCAGATAAATTTTGCAAATGAATTCGAGACTTGAATAACTAGACATTATCGTTAATTCAAAATTTTATTTGCAGTAATGCAGAACAAATTTTATGCAAGATTATTTACTAATAGGGCTTTTGACAAATGAACAAAACTTATCATATCCAAATATCAAAAAACACTTTATTATCTATTGATGCTTGATAAATAAAATAATAAAAAATAAACTCGGTTGCTTAGCCTGGGATTGAAAAATAATATAATGTTTTTTATCTTTGCAGCCATTCATTAAGCTATTCGGCAATTCTTTTTCGTTTAAAGTCATCTGTAATCTGTCATCTGTTTTATAAAAAAAAAATAATTAATAATAAATAATTATTGAATGAAGGCTAGAAATATTCTTTGACTTGTCTAAAATGATTTCTATAATTTTCAGATTGAATTTTTCGGAATTGAATTTAAAATGAATAGTTTCTGTGACGAGGTAATCGCAGCAGCTTATATAAACAAAATTAAATGTAATTTAAATTTCGTATGTTATCTGATATAATAAGTTTTATAATAAATTTTATAATATTTCATGGCTTCAATTAATATATGAAATGATATAAATAGAATTATCGAGCCAATTTTCTTTCCAGTTTTACGAACATAGATTATTACTTAGATTTATTATTCCAAAAAGAGATCATAATTTATTTGTTCATTATTAATTTTATTCATTATTTGTTTTTGTTAGATTGCCTTTGTAATGTCCAAAATATGTAATGGAAAATATAAATCAGAATGGCTTTTAATCCTGCTGTTTGATTACAAATTCAGTTTAAAAGTAATAATGAATTTTCTTCATTAATTGATTTATAAAGAAATTACAATTATTTGAATTATTAATCATTTCATTTTGAAACTTTCGATTGGAGTTATTAAAAACCAATTCCAATATTATAACTCTTAAGAAATATTTACTGAATTATGACCGAAAAAAAAAACTATAATTATACCAAGACAGTATATTTGTAAGTTGCAATAATAATTATCTTTATTAAATATTTCTTAATAGAAAAAACAATTCTAAAAAAAAAATTTTAACTTTATTGACTTTATTGCTTTCCCGAATCTTTTATATTCATTATTCCATTTGTTTATTTTATGTTTCCATTTTTATGTAACAAACCATTTTTTTTTGTTATTATTCTTGATTGGATTGAGATTGATAAGCAATTCGTCAATCAATAAATATTATAGTTGTGTGTTTTTTTGGTAAATGTGATTATTATTTTTTTAATTCTGTTTTTTCTTATAAAAAAATGGCAAATTAATCATAATTTTAAATAATGTTTAATCATCTCATCTCGTTCAACACGAGATTTATTTTCATCATTATTAGTTAATCGAATTTTCTGTAAAGTTACTATACCTTTACTTTGGAATTAGCTTTGGGTCAGGAATATTTTACTGATCATGAGTTGAGGAAGAAAGCATTACCTATTCGAACTTATATATCGTGTATGGATACTAAAGCTAGGACTTTACTTATTCAAAATGGATTTGATTTATCATTATCAAACCTCACGGCATTTTTGATTATCTATCATCACTCGTTAATTTATAATTAGTACAGTATTTTAGTTTGCTTTATTTTCAAGATGCTCAAAAAAATGCAAATAATCATTGGAAAGTAATAGGATAGATACCTTATTATATATTTAGAGATATTAACGAAATAGCAAAGGGTAGATTTGGGACAATATACTACAGTAAAGAGCTGTTTAGGATAATAACCCTATGATGTTGAAATTAACAGTGGAAAAGGTCGGGTTGACAACATTCATTAAAAAATGTATGATAACAATTTTGCAAGAATAAATGAAAATTTTTAAATTAGATAAAAAAATTATTAATACCAGAAATATAAATTTGTTTTTTTAATTATATTTTATATTAAAATTAATTGTAAATTAAAAACATATATCATGTAACGAAATGCACTTAAAAATAGGAATTCTAATTATGCTTAAATCTATTTTATGAATTTACGTATAAATAATTTTATCAGAATTCATATTTTTGATTAATATTGCTTTGTGATTTTATAATATAAAAGAAAACAGAAGATCAAATGCAATGATGTGATGTTATTATTTATATATTATTTTATAATTTGTGTCTATATGTATGTAATAAATAATGATCACTTTCATTCAAAGTAAAACATTATACGTTTCTAACTACGACATAATTAAATACTATAAATTTGATGATAATAAAATTATCATCACAATTATTATTTCTTATTAAATTGATGTTTTTGGTGTTGTTTTGTTTTGGAATTATTTGTGTTAATCGTGTTTATGATGTTGGCATCGCTATCATTAGAGGTGTTAGTATTATTAGTGGTGTTGGCAATTATGATTGTTATCATAGTTGGAATTGATAATGATAAACCTCATTATCTTGATTATTAATCATATCTAATGGTAGCGTTTTCGGTATTTTTGATGATTGTATTGTTTGTATTTTTGATGGTGATATTAATGTTGTTTCGAAACTGGTTTTATTTTTTGACGCATGAATAAAAATTAAATTATTATTATTATCAATTCACCAGCTGTAAGAAAAATAAAATAAATGTAATATAAAAAAAATAATAAATTTATAAATAAAAATAATAATATAAATTTATCAAAATTACCCGAATTCTTTGAATTAATAAATTTTTTAGATAATCTGGTTAATCTTAAAAGTTTAAGATTTAATTATTAATGTTGTGGTGTTTAATGTGATGAACTGTGAAAAATAAATACTCTAAATTATTATTATTTTAAATTTTGGATGTATATGAAATCATTGAAATAATAATAAGATATTTACCATATCCCATTCAAATTCGTTAATATCATCTAAACTATTATTAACATTACTATCATTTGATAAAGAAATAGAATGATTATCGAATTGATCGAATTGGAAGAATGGCATTTTAAACATAGTTTGTGGTTCCTTGATTTCTTGAGTCTTTCTATTTTAAATAATAAATAATAAATAAATAAATAAAATAAATAAAATAAAATCTTAAAATATTACCTTAATCTGTCTTTATTTTTTGAATCTCTTTCAATAGTCAAGTATTTCGTTCAACTGATATTTCAACATTGAATTTGTTCCGTTGATTATTAAAATGTTTTTCTAATTTTGAAATTAATTTTTGCCCAGATGTCTTTAATCATTTCTTTAGTGTCTTTAATCTCATTCATCTTTGTTTTCGTTTTCTTCCATCATCTTCCTGATTATTATTATTATTGTTCTCATTATTATTGATGATATTATTAATGATTTTCGAGGCAAATCTCCAGTAATGATATTAAATTCAATCGTCCATTTATATGTGCGTCTAATGCAGATTAAATAAATTATCATTTGAGTTGATACTATTTATTTAGCAATATAGAGATACAGAGTAAATAAATAAATAAAAAACCCGGTTAATTTGCTTTTCCTATTTTGCTTGTATAAGGTATTTATTCAATCAATCATTTATATCTGCTCTCTCTCTATTATTGAATATTAGTTAATTTAATAAATATAATTTAAAATAAATAAAATATTAAATATTTAATTAATAATAATAAATAAATAAAGTGTACCAATATACTTTTTATTTTCTTTAATCATTCGAACATTTTCTAACCTTTGATTTCTCAACATCACAAGTTTCTTATTTTCTCTATTAACAATTTTTTATTTATATTTTTTCTCGAGTTGATTAATTTTGTAATGATGAACTTATGGTTTTATAGTATTAATATATTTTGACTTTCTAATAGATACTAGTAATAAATAATAAATAATAAATAATAAATTGAATTTGAATGAATTAAATCTGAACACGTTATCCATTCATTCATTCATAAATAATAACAAAACAATAATATAATAATACATTTCGTTAAAAGCAAAAATTCGAAAAAAATAATAAAAAATAAAAAATGATTAATAATAATAATCCAAATAATTATAAATTAGTAATATAAATATAAACCATGATATTGATTACTATCACGAATCCACAACGATCACTATGAGACTCCTAAACTTTTCTGATAATAATCCTTTTATATCTATTTTTTTTTAAAAATTATGTCCAAAGTTAATAAGACAATTATAACAATACCTAGCCATTCACCCATCACCATTCATTTTTTCTTGAACAAAAAAATTTTGGTGCATAAAAGAATCATCATTCTTAGATAATTGACACTATTAAATGAAAGAATTCATTAATGTGAGTGAATATATTCAGGTTTTGGGGCTTATACTTATGATTATTTCTTAAAACACGATCCAATAACTATCGTCCAAAACTATTGCAATATTTATTTCTTTAAATATTTTAGATACATGCTTTCGTACAAATTTACGTAAAGATTTTTCTGGGCAAAAAAAAAAACACGAAAAAATATTAAAATTTTTGGGTTATTCTTTTTATTATTAAGGTTAATATAGTTGTATCATACATTAGTAGAAAAGCTATAACGCAAAAAAATTAAATTAAATTTATCGAAAAAATGGTTTCTTATCATGAGGTGAGAGATAAATTTTTAATTTTGTACGTACAGAAAAAAGTGTTTATCATTTTTGTACAATTATTCTTGTAAGGAATCATTCAGTTATTTATAAAAAGTAAAAAAACAAAGGAAAAAGGAAGTGATTACTATGAACTTCAAAAAAAGCAAACAATGAGTTATGCAGTTAAAGCAGATCGACGATGTAATTTTACCAAAGTAGAAAAGATTAAGACGACGATTTTAGAAATTAACAAATAATGATCGACATGAATTAAAATATTTATAAACTAACGTAAATTTCAACTTCCGGTCTCCTCAAAAATTATTCATAATCACATCTTATAAAATTACTTATTGGAATAAAATTTTACTATCTCTTATAACCGTGTCACATTAAAATCTACTTGAATTTATATATACAAAATATATTAAATTTCTAAAATTTATTCTTTTTTAAACTAATCCCCTCCGCATAAATGGAAAATATATATCGTAATGAAAATGGAATTACAAAAGATGAAAAGGAAGAATTTCAATCGTGCCTGAAATCAGCGGAAGGAGGAAATAGTAATAGTCAGTTTATTCTTGGAGATTATTATTTTTTTGGAATCGGAACAACAAAAGATGAAGGGAAAGCTTTTCAGTGGTACTTGAAATCAGCTGAAGGAGGGAATAGTAATGGACAGTTAAATCTTGGATATTTTTATCAGAATGGAATCGGAACAACAAAAGATGAAGAGAAAGCATTTCAATGGTACTTAAAATCAGCCGAAGGAGCTAATAGTTCTAAACAGTCAATTCTTGGGTACTGTTATCAAAACGGAATTGGAACTCCAAAAGATGAAGAGAAAGCATTTCAATTGTACCTGAAATGCGCTGAAGGGGGAAATAGTGATGGACAGTTTGGTCTTGCATACTGTTATTTACATGGAATTGGAACAGCAAAAGATGAAGAGAAAGCATTTCAATATTCCTTGAAATCAGCTGAAGGAGGGAGTATTTTTGGACAGATTATTCTTGGAAATTGTTATTCAAATGGAATTGGAACCACAAAAGATGAAAGGAAAGCATTCCAATGGTACTTGAAATCATCTGAAGGAGGAAATAGTGATGCAATGTTTAATCTTGGATATTGTTATATTAATGGGATTGGAACAATAAAAAATGAAAAGGAAGCATTTCAGTGGTACTTGAAATCAGCTGAAAGAGGAAATACTGATGGACAGTATGATCTTGGATGTTGTTATAAGGATGGAGTTGGAACCACAACGGATGAAGAAAAAGCATTTCAGTGGTACTTGAAATCAGCTGAAGGAGGGAACAGCAAAGGACAGTATAGTCTTGGATATTCTTATCAGAATGGGATTGGAACTACAAAAGATGAAAAGAAAGCATTTCAATTGTACCTGAAATCAGCAGAAGGAGGAAATTGTGAGGGACAGTTTAAGACTGGTTTTTGTTATTTAAATGGAATAGGAACCATCAAAGATGAAAAGAAAGCATTTCAGTGGTACTTAAAATCAGCTGAAGGAGGGAATAGTATTGGACAGTTTGATCTTGGAGTTTGTTATCAGAATGGAATTGGAACAACAAAAGATGAAATGAACGCATTTCAATGGTACTTGAAATCATCTGAAGGAGGAAATAGTATCGCAATGTTTAATCTTGGATATTGTTATATTAATGGGATTGGAACAATAAAAAATGAAAAGGAAGCATTTCAGTGGTACTTGAAATCAGCTGAAAGAGGAAATAGTGATGGACAGTATGATCTTGGATTCTGTTATCATAATGGAATTGGAACCACAACGGATGAAGGGAAAGCATTTCAGTGGTACTTGAAATCAGCTGAAGGAGGGAACAGCAAAGGACAGTATAATCTTGGATATTCTTATCAGAATGGAATTGGAACTGCAAAAGATGAAAAGAAAGCATTTCAATTGTACCTGAAATCGGCTGAAGGAGGAAATTGTGAGGGACAGTTTATGACTGGTTTTTGTTATTTAAATGGAATTGGAACCACCAAAGATGAAAAGAAAGCATTTCAGTGGTACTTAAAATCAGCTGAAGGAGGGAATAGTATTGGACAGTTTGATCTTGGAGTTTGTTATCAGAATGGAATTGGAACAACAAAAGATGAAATGAATGCATTTCAATGGTACTTGAAATCATCTGAAGGAGGAAATAGTAATGCAATGTTCAATCTTGGATGTTCTTATCTGAATGGGATTGGAACGAAAAAAGATGAAGAGAAAGCACTCAAATGGTACTTGAAATCGGCTGAAGGAGGAAATACTAATGGACAGTTTAATCTTGGGTACTGTTATGAAAATGGAATTGGAACCACAAAAGATGAAGTAAAAGCATTTCAGTGGTACTTGAAATCGGCTGAAGGAGGGAACAGCAAAGGACAGTATAGTCTTGGATATTCTTATCAGAATGGAATTGGAACTGCAAAAGATGAAGAAAAAGCATTTCAGTGGTACTTAAAATCAGCTGAAGGAGGGAATAGTGATGATCAGATTATTCTTGGGTACTGTTATCAAAATGGAATTGGAACTCCAAAAGATGAAGAGAAGGTATTTCAGTGGTGCTTGACATTAGCTGAGGGAGGGAATGATGTTGGACAATTTATTGTTGGAGATTGTTATTTAAATGGAAATGGAACCACAAAAGATGAAAAGAAAGCATTTGAGTGGATTTTAAAATCAGCTGAAGGAGGAAATAATAGTGGACAGTTTAATCTTGGATACTGTTATGAAAATGGTATTGGAACAACAAAAGATGAAGAAAAAGCATTTCAGTGGTACTTGAAATCTGCTGAAGGAGGGAATGTTAAGGGACAGAATAATCTTGGTATTTGTTATTTAAATGGAATTGGAACCACAATAGATGAAGAGAAAGGAGTTCGGTGGATTTTAAAATCAAATGATAATCATACCGAGCAATTAATTAAATCGTGTTATAGAGAAGAATTTGAAATCCCAACAGCTAATAAATATCAAAATATTTTAAACCAAAATACAAATAGAAAGGATATCAGTTTAACACTTTCTAAATCATCCATTAAAAATTTAAACAGTATTGAAGATTTAAATGTTAAAAATCACGATTGCTGTATTTGTTGGCAAAAGAATGGTTGCATTAAAATCTGCAAAAAATATTCTCACGATTTTGGTAGATGCTATAATTGTGGGGATCTAAATATACGAAAAAATTCATGTAAGTATTGTAAAGGAATTGATTATGCCTATATAAAAAGATTTTGGGGAGATGATATTATGCCAATGACTCAAATTACAGAGTTAGATGAAGATGCAGATGAATGGAAAATTTGGAGATGGATAGATTATAATGAATTAAAAAATATTGAATATTTGGATGAAGGATCATTTGGTACTGTTTGGAAAGCAGAATGGATAGATATGCCTGAAGAATTGATTGAAATCTACAAATTCAATCAAGTTGCTTTGAAAAAACTTAGGAATTCAAAAGAAATGGGCCTTAAATTTAAAAAAGAGGTAAATATTAAAATGCAATAAAAATAATTTTTTGTATTATACAAATAAATAATTTTTATTTAATTTTATAAATATAGTTGTTGGCAAATTTCCACTGTCGTTCAAGATATGTTCTGCCAATTTTGGGTATAACTCAAGATCCAATGACAAAGGAATATTTAATAGTTTTACGATATATGAAAAATGGAAATTTAAGAAATTATCTTCAACAAAATAAAACATTACCATGGACTGAACGATTATGGTTATTACAGTCTTTTATCTCAGGGTTGAATGATATTCATGATAAAGAATATATTCATTGTGATCTTCATCCTGGTAATTTAATGATTACTGAAGCATATAATTTAAAATTTGTAAGATTAGGAGATTTAGGATTTTGTAGACCTTTAGAAGAAATTACATCATCTGAAAAGTATGGTGTATTGCCATATATCGCACCTGAGAAATTAAATAAAAATCTGTATACTAAAGCTTCTGATATATACAGTGTTGGAATTATTATGTGGGTAATATCAACAGGAAAGATTCCATTTTCTGACAGAGCATATAATTTAGAATTAACTTTAGAAATTCTTGAAGGAATTCGACCAAAAATCAAAAAAGGCACACCACAATGTTTTGTAGAATTGATGAAAAAGTGTTGGCATAAAGATCAATCTGAACGTCCAAGTGCAAAAAAAATTATTGAGCTAGTGAGCAAATGGATTGCTAATTTGACATTAAATGAACAAACAGAAGATTCACATGCGTTTTTAAATGCAGATCAAGAAATGAAAAATGAGGATTTTCAACCATCAGATGAACCTATTCATCCTGAGGCATCTCTCAATGGTAAACCTTTATCTTTTCTACCTCCTTTACAAAATTTAACTTTAGATTTTGACATTATTGATATTAATGATCTTTAAATTATTTGAATTAAATATATGAAAATCAATTTATATAATGAAACTGAATATATTATTTATTATCATCTTTTTAAAATTGTTATTGTTTAAATTTTATCTTTTCATTTGACCATCTATGATTTTTAATTAATTAATAAATATATAAAATATAATTCAAAATTTGACTTTTATTAATGTTAAATATAAGACTCTAGTCCAAGAAACTCTCCGAGACAATTAGTAATTTTATTGTAAGTGCAATGCAATGATTGAGTGTAAAATTTTATTATTATTATTACCTTGCTTATTTAATTTTCATCCAAGATCTTTTGGGAGACCAGATGTGTATATCGACTTACACACTACAATGCAAATTCTAGAAATTGTGTTATATCAGCCTAATTTTAATTTCAATCGATATCATGTCTTAATAAAAATCATGAGTTCGTTCGTGAAAATCTAGAAATTACGGAAGCCTTTCTCTTCTCATTAGTTTATTGAAATTAATTTGGATATTTATTTTTTATTTATTAATATTATAATAATTATAATTATCCCAACGCATTTTAATAAAACACAAAATTAACAAAAATGAGTAAAATGTATGTATATACTGTACAAAAATAAAACCTCCAATTTTGAAAAAATGAATAATGAATTGATTTACCCATTTGAAACACTACATGTCGTGTAAAATGAATCAAAAAAAAAGTCAGAAAAAAAGGGAAGGAAAATTTTTAAAGTTATGTATATATAGAGTTATAAAGAGTAAAAAAAAAAATTTTTTTTTGAGACCAGTATTTATAATATCATATTTATGGTAGTTTTTGTGTATTGATATTTTTTGTTTTTTTGGGGGGGTTTCTAAAAGAGAAAAAGTACTAATAATAAATAATAATAATAGTCAAGATGATGGTAATGATAATTATGAAGAAGAAGATGATGATGATGTGTCAGTAAGATAGATTAATTATAAAGAAATGAAGGAAGAATCGAAATAAATAAAAAGAATTAAATTTTTAATAATAAAAATAATAACAATTTCCTTTCGAAAATAAAACTGTTCAAAAAGAAAGAATAATTTTGAAAAATAAATTATTCAAAAAAAAAAGTAAAAAGGCAAATTGTTCAGATGAATAATAATTTTTTTTTAATATTAATAATGTTGTTGTCATCATAAGGTGAGAGTAATTAATCAATTAATTAATTAAATTAATAATAACATGTCATATATTTTTACATATATGCATATATCTCTCTCTCGAATTTATTCTTTGTGAGTTTACCACCGAAAGTGAAAATTCCCACTTTTTGATACTAAATAATTAAAAAAAAAAAGAAAAAATGGTGTGGTATTTTATATTAAATTTTTAAAATAAAAAATAATAAATCTTACATTTCACGTTCCTTCTTTATTTTATCAATCATGATATCTACAAAATTAATCATTATTACATTATCATAAGCATGAATTACTTATAATTAATAATAAATTAAAGAATAATATTATTAAAATTAATATTTTCTATACATGGCATGTGATTCGCTGGTGGTAAGATCTTTGGTTCAGATAAATTCGAATAATATAATAACGACTGATCTGGATGATAAAGTAGCAATAATCATCATTATTACGTAATCTATGTACGTAATTAATTTACCAAATAATATGTTATCACGTGAGTTATATATAATTGTAGCACAAATGGGAGTTAAAACTTGTTATTTTTCAAGAAATTTATATGGAAAAAATGAAAAAAATGGCATTTGCAACATTAGAAGTGCAGAAAGAAAAGCAAAATTATAGGTCAAGTATGGGAAGCTGGTGATTTAAAGATTAAAATAGTAGATACAACAACAAAAACATGCAATTGATGACATGCTTAAGATCATTTGGTATTCAAATGTCCAGTTGCAGCAAGAAAAAAAGAGATAAATGAAAGAAAAATAAATGATTTTAAAAAATATGGTCACATTTACAAAGTTAATAGACCAAGATTATATGAAAATTTAAAGGATCATATAGATCTAGGCACAGGATACTCTGATGCTGTTAAAAGAAATGTGAACAGGGATAAAGGAAATAAGAAAGGGGACAGTAACCAAGAAAGCATTTTGAAAACCATATTGAAAACACTTCGAAACAATAAAACAAGATATATTAGATATTAAGCAACACAATAATGACATGGAAGAGAGAGTCCAAGCCTTGGAAGAATATATGGAAAAAGAAGCTTTTGATGAAGTAATGGAGGAAGGTAAATATTTAGATAATACTGTGAAGGAAGTGTATAATGCAACTACTGAAAATATAAGAACAAAAGAAAAACAAGTAACACAAATAGAACAAATAGCATATACTGTTAAAATTTTGTCAAATTTAATACCAGAGTTGAACCAATCTAATGTTGAGACACAAAAAAGATTAGAAAGAATGGAAAATATGTCTAATTTATCTAAACAACAGGAAAATATAAGAAGCATTTCCTATTAAATAAACAAACATACTAAATAATTTTAATATGACGAAGAATCATAATAAAATGAATAATAATACTACTAAAATAATAGAAAGTGAACAAACCTCAAAAAATAATAATATAAACAATACAAACAATAAACATTTAAACATAAATAACATATTATACTATACCTCAGAATATAATAAAAAATCAAAAAAAAATAGCAAAAATAATGAAAAAACAAAAAATAACAAGGATATAATTAGTGGAATTAAAAAAAATGATAATCAAATATCAAACTTGAACATTAATATGAATAACAATGCAATAGATATAGAAGAAGAAAACAATAAAAAAATTTATGAGAATAGTTATTCAAAATATTAGGGGAATAATGAGTATAGCTAAACAAATGAACTACTGCATAGAAAAAGAATTTGATATAATAGGACTAACTGAAACATGAGCAAAAGAAGAAAGTTGCAAATACATCTTTAAAAATAATTTAATCAATGAAACAAAAAATGTTCAAATGAATATGTATATATTTGGGCCAATGAAAAACAAAACAAATGGTTTAGGAGTAGGAATTATGAAGATGAATTGAAACTACAAATCATATTACATAAGGTTAAAGCACATGAAGGAAATCATTTTAATGAAATAGCAGACC